TTTCAAAATAGCGAAGTAATTGATGAACGGTTACATGAAAAGAGAAACTATTAATTGACAATAATATTGTTTTATATCTCGAATATTGATAAATATATTAGTTTCAAATGTAGGTACTATTACTATACTATAAACCATTGTCCTTTATAGAATACCATTTGGCTCAGTGTTGGATTTCTGATTTGTGAAAAAAAAAGACAAAAATATTTTAGTCTTTTTAAAAAATACTTGCAAATTCCACTGTGGAGTCAACTAAAGTCTGGAAATAAAACTACACTTTCTAACTGTTTTTAATATTAAACATAGTGATTTGATACACCGCTTTACGGTCGATAAAAAGCTATTTACCAAACTAATACGTAAACTAATTGTTTTTAAATAGAAACATAATATTCACTTAAAAACAAATTAGTTTACTTTTTATGTATTCCATATTATGTTTTTTATCGATCGGCTGTTATGTATTAGTAACATTAAAACATTATACCATATTTTTAATTGGATACAAAACATTATTCATTGATTATATCGTGCTTCTGTTTGAATTCATAATATTATAGAATAGTTACAATTATTAATCAACAGTTTCTCGCTTTTTATTAATTGTATAAGATATAACATCTTTTAATATGTTGATGGTCAAAGAAGTCAATTACCTGTTTTTTAAAAAGACATGATCAAGACAACGAGAGAAGGCATGATCAAGACAACTTAGCCGACATAATGATTAGTTTTGATGTGACGTTTGCTTATTTGAAAGATTTGAACCCAAATAAATCTATTAGTGTTGATAACATTATTCCAAAGGTACTCGAAATAATGCACCAAATGACTTACCCTCTTACTTTACTTTACCATAAAGCATTGTCTGAAGGCTCGACACCTATAGCTTGAAAGCAATCATATGTTTTTTTTGTATGTATTTAGGTGCTCCCAGAAGTCCTTATGGTCTTATCATAAAGCACCGCGGGAGAGCATTTAATAGGAAGTTCACGCCTCCTTCCGTACCAATGTCGCTTGTTGGACTGGAGCTGGCGTCGAACCTCGGACCTTTGGGTTCTGAGCCAGAACTCTAACCACTGCGCCACGGCTGCTCATATGTCGCGCCATTGTTTAAAAAATGAAGTTACCTTGATGCCACCAACTACAGAACATTGTCTACCACATCAGTTCAATGTAAAGTAATGAAAAAGATTATCAGGGAACATATAACTAAATACCTTGATAAAACCAGCTGCGTCTCACATAATCAAAACTAATTATTTCCAAAAAAGGATGCATGTCTAACTTATTGGAAAGTGTTGACTACATTACGAAAGCGTTAACTAAAAAAAATTAATCCATATTGCATTTTTAGATTTCGCGAAAGCGTTTAATAAAGTTTCTAACTGTAGACTAGATGTTTTCATAAATTGAAAACATACGGGATAAATTTCAATGTTCTTAAATGGATTGAGGCAATGGAAATTGAGAGAGACCTGGGTATCTTTATATCTAATGATCTAAAATGAAATCAACATGTACAGGTTGCAATACTCAAAACAAATAAGATTTCTGACCTATTAAAAAAGATTTAGATTACGAGATATGAAGCTTTGGGGGAAACTTTACATTACGTATATATGGCCGCATCTGAAATTTCCTGCGTCGGTATAGTGTCCTTGCTTAAAAGGTGACATCAAGGAAATCAAAAAAGTTCATGACAAAGCAACAAAAGTACCTCATGATTTAATAGGATTACCTTAAGATGAGAGGTAACAATGTCTCAATTTTACTACTTTGGAAACTTGAAAAACGACGTTGCGACTTAATCCAACAGTTCAAACTAGAAAACCGTTTTGATATAATCATTTGGCATAATTTACTTATTTCAGGGCCGACGACACGGGTTTCGAAGTGGGAGGGGGGGACACAACCGTCAATTCTTAAAAATAAAAAAATTTCTTATATTTAAAAAAAAAAAAGCTCATTTAGAAAAAAAGTGGGGGGGGGGGCGTGTGCCCCTGCTTCCACCCCCCCCCCTCCCTCTCCCCGGTGTTGTCGGCCCTGATTTGCTATGGAATAACAAATGCTTTTTTTTTACTTAAAGATTATATTTTACAAACCGCTACAATTTTTGTATAATTTATTGGTTTCGTTTTTGTTTAATCATTTGTCATGTAAACTAAAAAGACATTAATATATATTACTATTTAACAAATTCATATTTTGATATTAACATTAGCTTAAAAAGACTTGAAAGACCTGTAAACGTTTTAAATAAAACTCGTATTAATAGCGGAAGAATTGCTGGAAAAACCTCTAATTTATTGGTAAACAATCTACCAACTTATAAAAAGCTCATTAAATACGACTGAGAAAGAGTTATATAATGGACAGAAAATTGACTTTGTATTAATCGTGAAAAATGTCAATAGTGATTTGCAAAAATTCTAATATAGAGTTAGTCCAAATCTCTCTATAATATAAGATAAATGATTGAAAAATAAAATGTCCACTACATTTCAAAATGTTATATTTGTAATCTGCTAACGATAAGTTCAGTATAAGCAAGCTGAAAAAGAAACTGGATACGTTATTTGATCTTTCTTCTGGTTGATGCAATCTTTCAAATTTTTATGACATTGTTATAATAAAAAATGGTAAAGGTAGTACAACTGTTTCAGCAACATTAAACGTGGTTTCTATGGTTTCAGCAACATTAAACGTGGAATCTAAGGTTTCAGCAACATTAAATAAAATATGGGAGAAGTAAAAGCTTAGAAGCAATTGCTTATTAAAATACAAGTTCTAACATTAGATAATTATTTAGTTGTCAAATTAGAAAAGCTTTTGAATTGTAGGACTCATTTAAAGAGTTTGTTACTTCACCAATATGATCAGGTTAGCGTAAACTTTATGAGTATTGATCGGAATAGGTTCCACTTCTATCAAGTTGCGAAATTGCACTGAATATATATATATATATATATATATATATATATATATATATATATATATATATATATATTCAGGTTATTATTGAAATTGCACTGAATATATATATATATATATATATATATATATATATATATATATATATATATATATATATATATATATATATTCAGGTTATTATTGAAATTGCACTGAATATATATATATATATATATATATATATATATATATATATATATATATATATATATATATATATATATATTCAGGTTATTATTGAAATTGCACTGAATATATATATATATATATATATATATATATATATATATATATATATATATATATATATATATATATATATATATATATATATTCAGGTTATTATTGAAATTGCACTGAATATATATATATATATATATATATATATATATATATATATATATATATATATATATATATATATATATATACATATATATATATATATATATATATATATATATATATATATATATATATATATATATATATATATATATATATATATATATCAGGCTATTTTTTAGTCGATGTAGCAACACTCCTTTGCGAGTCAGGCTAAAAGGTAGTCGATGTGGCAAAACTCCGTTGCGAGTTAGGCAATAAGATAGTAGATGAAGCAACACTCCACGCATGTTTTAAAAATATATTTTAATAAAACAACAGCAAACACACTATTAATTAAAAAAAACTTTCTAGTCATTATTATTGCGGGTTTTTTTGAAAAACAATAAAATTTAATGCACTTTCCCATTAATTTCTTTGCTTTGACATTTCGACGATAAAATGTAACTTAATTGTCGAGGTAGCAAAATTGTATTCGAAAGAGACTTTTTTTACATTAAAAGTCTCTTTTGACTACACTATAAGGATATATATATATATATATATATATATATATATATATATATATATATATATAATATATATATATATATATATATTAGCATGTCCATGCTAAAAGAAATGACACTCGTGTGTCTCATCATTTATCTATATTGAATTTCAATTTGTAAACACTATCTTTGAACGAGTTGACTGGTTCAGCATTTATGGCGTCTAGGTTTATATTGACGATGCGATTAGTGTAGAAGTTGATTTTTTCTTTGCAGTTTTTTACCCTTTGATGTTCGAAGTCGAAGATAACGTTGACGCAATATTTATTTGGATATTTATGGTGTGTAGACTTGAGGGTTCTTTAAAATAGTTTGATCAATTTATTTTAAAAGTTTAAACTGTTGAATCAGATCACCTCGAACTCTCCTTTAAGTTTAAGTTTAGTTAAAGATGACGGAGTCTCTCTTCATTTCCGTGATTGTTTTAGTGGCTTTATGCTGTACTTGCTCTAGAATAGCAGTGTCTTTTTTCCTTTTGTGGTGACCAAGCCTGGATAGCAAATTCTGACTGGGTTTTATATAGCTTTTGTAGAGTACTTTCCATAAAAAGAGTCCACGGCCTCTAAATATTATCTTTAGTCTACCAAGTTTACTGCTGCTGCTGATTCGACTTGATAGCTTGCTTTAAGATTGTTTGATAGAAATACTCCCAGATCATGTTTGTGTTTAGTAACGAATTCTGTTTCCACTCAAGTCAAGCGTTGAATAATTTTAAATAGATTTGAAGTTATTACGCCTGACGTGCATAACTTTACGCTTATCAAAGTTGAGAGGCATATTCCATTTATGCAACCAATCTACTAAGTAATCTATGTCAATTTGCAAGTTTCTTTTGTCCTTCTCAGATTTTAGAACTGCCTGTGTTTTGCAAATATCGGCATAAATCTCTATGCGATGAGTAATATAGTCCGGCAAATTGTTTATATATAAGATAAAAAGAAGTGGACCAAGGACAGAGCCAATTACAACTCGTTGATAACGATTCGTTGGCCAGTATGCTACCCAGTCCAAGACAATGCCGTTTATACCATAGGCCTTAAGTTTGTGTAAAAGTCTGACGTGCAAAACTTTATCAAAGGCTTTTGCAAATTTAGTGAGGATGGTATCAGAGGCGTAGTCTTGATGCATTGCTTCTGTTAGTATATCCCGAGTTAAAGTAACTTCAATGTGACTTCAATGTGTATTACTTACTATGAAGAAATCCGTGCTGTTTTTTGGGTATTAGGTTAGTGCTAAGACAGCCATTTTTTCGTGTATATACCTTTTATAGTTTCACAGGATGCTGATGTTAGTGAGACTGGTAATTAACTGGTAATTGAGTTTATAGTTTCTTCTTCTTGTTTGATGTGATCATAAAGTCTCTTTGGGTCATTTTTAAAAACACTAGTTAACTGATGATCGTATCTTTGAATAGCTATTTTTATTACCTCTGAAACATGTTTACAGGCTATTTTATGCTTACTTCTGAGTGTTTCATGTGCTTTAGTTCCAGAAGCGACATATTGCCTCCTGAGATTACGTTTATGAAAAACTACTTCTTTAACCTCAGGTGTGGTCCAAGGTTCTTTTTTTCTTTTGAATGGAACAGAAGTCACTGGAATGTATTTGCACACAGCTTCCATACATTTATTTTCAAGTAATTGGTAGTGAATGTTTGCTGAATGATTAGTAAAGTTTTTGTCCCAATCGTAATCCATGATATATTCTGATACTTTTTGATAATTCGCTTTGCAAACTATCAAAAAATATCGGAAATATAAAGTGAAAGAAAAGTAGTTGGTACTTCAAAGTTCATAGTTTAATGAAATATAAAGTGAATGAAAAGTAGTTGGTACTTCAAAGTTTATAGTTTGGAAATGTCCTGTGATCAGGAAGTGAGCTTTACCCTTAGGTGTGTTTCTAATCGAATCATTCTTCATGAGGTCCTAACTTGGTTTGGCTTTTGGTAATGACAAGGTCAAGAATATTACCCGGTGCATTGTTTCTTGAGTTACGATAAGTTGAGAGTGTTATCATTTGAGTAAAAAAATGCTCACCTAAGATTTGTTGAAACTTGGTGTCACTAGGCCAATCTTTGTTGATATGCGCTACAACTAGTGTACTGTCATCAACTACAAGATGACATTACACTAGTACTGTCATCTTGTAGATTCTATATATGTTGTATGGCTAATGTTAAAGTCACCGTATAAGAGCATGGATGCGCAGCCTAGTTTTGAGAGATTGTATTCCGCGGCTTTGATTGAAGAAATTATTTTCATGAGAATATCATTGTTATTATTTTGAGGTCGATAGATACATCCTAGGAGGAGTTTTTCAAGGGAAACTGTATTTTGTAAAAATTGTAACTTCTTATTTTTGGATAAACATCAAAAATTGGAGAATCAGCTAATGAAATGAAACAAAAAAATGTTAATAACTTATGAGGTAATTTGTTTTTTCACATCAATGCTTGTTTTTGACATCATACTTGAGGATTTCTATCATTTTATAAAAACAAACCTTTAAAATTTTGAAGCAAAAACCTTTAGTCATTTATACATTTATAAGCTATGATTTTTCAAAAATTACATAAATAAGCAAATTGCAAAAATTAGTAAAAGCCAAAAAACAACAATAAATATTTTATAACTAGAAAAAAAATAAAAATTTTATAACTAGAAAAAATATAAAAAATTTCATGATGAGTAAAGTTTATAAGTTTCTAGTTGTGGAACTTCACCTTACCAACCCTTATTAATGGCATTTAATTGCAATCTTTTTGCAAAATGCTTTTTCTTTCTAGAGAACTTTGCACAACTTGCAACACAACTGAGTTTACTCTTAACTTAAATGAAGATTTGTAAATAAAAATGATTTTGGGACAATATAAAAAGTACAAATATTTGCTAATACCACAACAGATTATCACATGATACTATCAGATAGATCATGGTCGGGTTCCGAGTCCTGTGTTTGCCTTAAAAACACGTTGGTTTTACATTGAAATTACAAGGTAGATTAACATTGATTAATGTTGGAAAAACTAACTTTATAAAGTTAACGTTGGAAAATCAAAAGTTGGAAAATCTAACGTTATCCATCCTTTTTATTTCCAACCTTAATTCATTATTATTACAACCTAAATAACAATGTTGTTCCAATGTTGGTGTGCCTACTGGATTATTTTGATTTTATGATTTGTTATTTATAGTCAGAAGACCAAAATAGCATCAATGGAAATAGTTACTTAAAAGTCAAGAAAGTAATTTTTGTTCTACTATAAAATTTTCTTATATTGTTCTTTAATTTAGATGCTCACATTGTTAGCAAAAGCATTTGAATCACATGCTTCTGCATTCTTTAGGTTGAACAAATGTTAACAAAGAATCTCTATTAGCATGGTATAGCAACAAAGAATCTCTATTAGCATGGTATAGCAACTTTAAAAAATTGATTAAAGATAAAGAATTAAGAATTAAGGCATGCCCTTTAGTCAACAGAACGTAATTTTAATTTAGGTAAGACTTTTTTTTGTTTAAATTCAAACAGAATTAAATTGGTAGAAAGCATGAATGTTTTCAACATGTATGCAATACTTGTGAAAAAAAAAATGTCACAGTTGTAATTAACTTTTCAGCAACAGGAAAAATAGCTTCTACCATAGAAATTTAAGAGGCAGAAGTTATCGCATCTTCAGCAATTTGTTTCCTCTTGGAATAATAGTCCAAAGAAGCACTTATGGATAGATGAAGGGTGAAACTTTACTTTATTATTTGAAAGAGTTTAAACGATATTTAATTGGTAAAAACTTAACATAAAAGACAATAATCAAAAAGTTGTACTTTTTGTTGATAATCACTTCATTCACCTGAGCTACAATGCATCTAAGTATTGTTTAGAGACAGGAATTGTACTATACTGCTTTTACCCAAATGTTACACATATGCAGCAACCAGCTGATATTAGCATAATAAACTCACTTCAAGGCTATTTAGCACGCGAAATGCAGATTTACAGAATGAGCCACACAGGAGCTGCCATTTAAGTGACAATGTTATAAAAGCTATTGTTCAAATAACTGTTCCAGTCATGAAAAAAGAATTTGAGTGATGAGTCTAGAGGCATAGCAAGGATTTTGGTGCCCATAGCAAATACATACATTGGCGCCTTTTTGCGCCAAAGTTGAAATTTTTTTGAAATGTGCATGACTAAAAAAAGAAGGAAACAAATACAGGAAAAAATAATATGTAATTTCAAAAAAACTTTATTGCTATCATTATTTTTTAATATAAAATATTACTCTTAATACATTAGTTATCTATATTACCATAAAAACATAAATAAATAACTTTTAATTAAATTAACTTTCCATGCCTTAGTATTGGCAAATTTTTAAATTATATTATCAAAATCTATTGTTTTTGTCAATTCCATTTCAATTGACAGAAGTACTAGTGAAGATGTCCGTTCTTGACCAGATGTCGATCGTAAATAGTTTTTGATTAATTTCAATTTGATAAAACTTTTTTCACCCGTAGCTACATTTAATGGGTATTTAAAAAACAATTTTTTTTTCTATGTATGGGTATGATTATTGCAGTTCCTATTCTCCTAAAATAATTAACAATTCCAGATTGCATATTGCACGAACATTTTTATCTTGCATAATTGCTGCAATTTGGTATTCGAAAAATTTCACTTCAATTTTTAATTGCTCTTCATCGATACCCGATTATTTTTTTTACCAATTCATCTTGTTTTTCTAATTGATCTGCACCCGTATTCTCATCTCTCCGTTAAGCTTAACGGAGCTTTTGTCTGAAATTTCATTACAATATATCTAAAGGTGAGTTTCCACTCATCCGTTTTTTCACGGGAACGGGAAAAATAATCACGTGAGCATGCGTAGTTTTACTTCGGACATATTAAAACTTATACTACGCATGCCCACGTGATTATTTTTCCCGTCCCTTTCCCGTTCCCGTGAAAAAACGGATGAGTGGAAACTCGCCTTAAGTAAAGAAATGACGAAAATCTTATTCAAATTTTTTAAAATAAAACTAATACTAAAATAAAAAATTTATTTTTAAAAATTTATATTTTTAAAGAACTTTTTTATTTATATAGTTAAAAAGAAATTTTTTGCTAACGCTCCGTTAAGCTTAACGGAGAGATGAGAATACGGCCCCAGCTGTCATATCCCGAAATGCTTCAGTCGTTAAAAAGTTAAATTCTTCTTCAATATTCTTAAGATTTTCAAATCTTCTAGTTAATTGCATTATTATGTTATCAAGTGCTGAATCTTTGACTGCCTCAAAGTTTTTGGTTTCATCTTCAGCTCCCCTGGAATTTTCTTCTTTTTTTTCTTTTTCTTTTCTTCTTCTTTTTCGTTCTATTATTAATTTTATGTTCATTTTCACATATTTCTTTAATCTTACAAAAAACTTTTTGATTTTATATTACTTTTAAAATATTAAAAATAATTTATAAGGTCTCTTATTAGTATAGAGGGTTTGTAAATATCCTGATTTTTTTTTTGAAGAGATAAATTTACATTTATACGCTAAATTTACGTTTATACGCTCCAGAATTGCCATACATATAAAAATGCATAAACTTATACGAATTTAAACATTTGTTCAACGATATAAATAGTTATAACGCATCTCCAACAAAATGATCATCTTGAAATTTATTAAGCATTAAATAGATAGCAAATTTTCTTTTTCAGCATTAACTGCATTAAATTTTGAACACCATCTCATATCAGCAGCCATTTTAAGGCTGATTCTGCTTATAAATGTAATCGTATTCCCCCGATGTAAAGAAAATGAGAAAATTTATGTAGAGACTAAATAATTCCAAAAAATGACGCAATATCGGAATTTACGCTGGCAGCATGTATTCCAACTAAATTTAAGCTGTGTACACAGCAAGAGATAAATCGTGCTAAAGGTATTTATCTTGAAAATATCGCTTCTACGTCTTTATATTTCCCCGCCATGTGGCTACCATTGTCGTACCCTTGACCAAGAATATTTTCAGTTAATGAACCATCTTGAGTTAATTTTTGCTTAACTTCATTTACAATACCTTCGCCAGTTTTTTCAGTAGTATTTATGAAGTTAATAAATCTTTCTTCAATG